GATCTATAGTATCGTGCTTCTCGATTTCAACTGACTCTCTCATTTTCCGAGAGAACTTATGACTATCAATCGCCAAAATGGTTGCTTCGTTCTATTTTATACGATGGTCGTAAGTCCAAGTATGTTTAGCCACAGCAGATTTATCTTGCTCGGCCTTCTCGCAGTTCGTCTTGTGTTCTTTAAGACGTACTGAGAGATTTCGACCAGTTTCACCAATGTAAACCAAACCAGACCACATTCACAAGGAATGCGGTACACACCAGGTTTCTGAGATTCATTTACGTAATCGTTTCAAAGTTTGGGCGAATTGGAAAATTCATCACGGCGCAATTTTAATACACGTTTCTCGGGTTTGTGTTGTGTTTACAGTATATATTTAGAAGTGGTTGCTCAAACAGCAAATTAGTTTACTTTGAAGCTAATATTTCGCTTTCTAAGCCACAGTATTATACTAAAATTTTCTGTATTAATTTATTTAATTCATCGGCGCGTTAATTGGAATCACTTCACTACATTTTGAAATGACGTGGTTGATGTGCCGTTTAATTAAATTTCAAATGACGCGAGCCAACAGATCACGACACTCTCGTATATAAAAAGAGCGTGTGAATTAAACAAGTCACATATTATTAGCACTGATGAAGATCCGGGCTTACGGATCGAAAGCTTTGCAGTAATAAATTTACGTGGTGTTTCCACAAACAAAACCTATTATATTTTATCACCATGCAAACATACAAAGAACTTAGTATGTTAACTGTGTACTATGTTAACTTTGTTCTTCTTCATTAACCTGCAGCTCTTCGTGCTGTGGTTCGTGCATGGGGGTTTTACCCTTGAATTATTATTTTAGTTAATGGTGGCTATAGCAACTGGACTATATCGTCAGCATGCAGTGCGACTTGTGGTGTGGGGTACCAAATGTGGTCCCGGCAGTGTGATAATCCACCACCCAAATATGGGGGTGACTGTTTCAAATATGGCAAGGACAAAGACAGAAAACCCTGCCGCATGGAACTCTGTCCAGGTTCGTCATTGAATTGTCTGAGTTGTTTAGAGCTCATCTATAATCACCATCATTTTCACCAAACCTGGAAAAATGCATGTGGGATCTCGATTATTTTGCCTTGGCAAGAAGATTGAGGAACATGCATTTTTTCACACATACGTGGGAGAATCTTATCATACTTTCTCATCTGTCATTTGTGAAATGTTGTTTAATGTTCAAACTTGGCCAGAGACGTGCTGAGGTCGTGAAAAGGACGACGAATGAGCAACGCCGGATGGGTTGTGACGGATGGATCAAGACTGAAACGTGAAACATATCAGTCGCTAATTAATCTTTTTTCTCAAAAATTGTTGGCTAGAGGGGGGGGGGGGAGTAAAAAAATTCCGGATATTCCATTTTTCGGTAACGCTTTAATGTACCATAATTAGTTAAATTTTTCGGTAATATTTTCGTAAATTTAGATTTTTTAAATGTGAATAGTAATATCTTAATCTTGATTTTCAAAACTAAAATCGATATTTTTTTAGCTTTTCCAATGTTTTAATTTTAGGGGTCCATGATGGGAGGGGCCCACAACATGTTCTCGTCGGCTCGTCCCTAGTCGGCTCGTCCCCAGTCGGCTCGTCCCTGAACTTTGCAGTCAAAGTAAAGTCATATTTCCCATTATTTTATTTTACACACTTATTTGAGGAGCGTTTGAAAAAGACAAGGACTCGAGGCGAGCAAGATTAAACACATTTTCCAGGTCTAAATTTCACAAGCGTGCAAAGAGTACTCTTTTCCAATTCCTGATCTCCCTCCCAAAGCGTTCTCTTAAATATGTTGAACCTCAGAAATGATAATGACAGGTCTCTAGTTCAACATGATATATGGCGTTCATTGGTCATTAACCCTCCCCTTAGCATCTGGTTTGCACTCTTTTAGAAAATGGTGATAATTACGGATGACCGATGACCCTTCAGTTTTTAATGTCAATAACTGAGGTTGTGCCGAAATAGAGGCTAATTATAGTGGCGTACCAAACTCTACTCACATGAGTTTTGAAGCACAGTTTTCAACGTAGCTCACCACCTTTCCATTGTAGTAACGTCACGTTCTGCCAAAGTGATCAGGATCATATCTGGCGTTTGTGCTTCGATCATCGTTATGGTCATTGGTTTTCTTCTCGTTCGTAAACGTAAAGCCTGGATTAAGCGATGTCAAAGGAGAGATAGTAAGTTTAATAAACTATACCGTATTGAGTAATGATTTAATTATTACGTACATATTGCATGCAGTATATGGAATACTTTGGCGAAAGAAGATTACCGTTGTGGAATACTTTGGCGAAAGAAGATTACTGTTATGGCAGCTGTCCTGGTGCGGTCTAAAATGTCGGGGCTTTGTTGGCGCAATCATCAGAGCAAGGGCCTAGCTGTCACCTCTGAGATCATGGAATCTGACACAAAGATATGTGGCGAGAAAAGTCGCATCAAAGGGTTGGATCGATATCAACGAGTACATGGAGAGTTATATGCTTCGTGCTGGTACCGCCTCCTTCAATGATATCAGACTATCAGCATGTTTGTGATGACAGTTTTACGGTTGCTATGCAACTCGTATTTAATAGAAGTAGAATTAATGTATATTCGGCACCCTACGACTGTCATAATTTCGTGTGAAAAGAATGCTTCCACTTTGGATGCTTCCCAAGAATGCTTCCCAAGCTTGTCTACTTCAAATACTCCAGTTTCCCGTAGTAATACTACTGGACGCGGAAGGCGTTTACTACAAGACTTCCGGGGAAAACAATTTAAAAACCGATAATAAAAATGGGTAAAGTTAGTTTATCGAGATTTTGTTGACATTTCCCTCGATTGAGTAATAGTTAAAGGGTCTTTTAGATCGGGAAATTATTGAGTGGAAATTTATGTACATTTATTAGTCCTAACCATGCAGTCAATCTGTCCTGACGTCAACTGTCTTGACGATGACTAAAATATAGTCGAAACGTAGATTCATTAAATCTACAAAATGTTATTCGGAGTTACTGTTCTTTTGTATTTTAACCAGAAACAGTTGTGAAAAGTGCAACTAAAGGTCCCAGGCAGGAACCGAACTTGCATGTCGCCCAGCGATTTCGGTGAAGCAATTCCTGCCAGGGACTTATATATAGACAAGACCCTTCAACCTATAAATTTATCTGCTTTATTATGCTATTGAAATAATACAAGCTTTTACTAAGACGTGGCCTAGTCTCTAATTCATTTAGCGCTACAAAACTTTAAACAGGAGTAAAAACATATACAAAAAGCCACATGGACCGTTCAGTACCCAACAATTTGCAATACATGTTCCTAATCTCATCCAATATTTCTTAATCAAATCTTTGCAGCCATTTCTCCATATGCAATCTTTAAACAAACATCAGAAGATTCTTCTCCAGAACATATTGATGATACCACAGGAGAACACATATATGCAACTGTATTTTAGTCTATATAGCGACACCATATAGAGTGGTGCAACTTCATGCACTAGTTAAAACATGAGCAGGCGATCTTTATAAAGATCGGATGCGAATGTTTTATTTAAAGTGCTTAAAATATGATCCATCTTATGAGTTCGAATTCATTGGCGAAGTCATTTTAATTTAAACTGATAAACATGATCTAAGCCGAGAAAATCAAAGCTAAAGTTTATGTAAATCAAGACAAATCTTTATCCTTTTGCAAACATTGATTAATTAAACATTCATTTATTTTGAATTTTCTTCATGAATCATTAATGAGTTTTTTAAATAATAGTTTACCACTTGAAATAAGACAATCAATTAACATCACTTACTTAAAACCTTTAAAATAAGAGCCTGTAAACACTTTTTAGATACAATTATAATGTAGTTCTTTGAATTTATACTATTATAATAGCTAGTTATTGTACTAGCTTAATGTACAATATAATGATGCAATTTCTAATATCAATGTAATTAATAGGACAGACAAACACGATCTGCTGCTGGCAAGGTGTATACAGGGACCTTGACCTGCTTTGGTATTGTCCACCATGCAGACGTGTCAATTTCTAGTCCCTCTTACAATTTGCATGTCTGACCTCTTACCACCAAGGCATCAGTCTAAATATAATGTGAGACGTACTCCCTGTTTTGACCCCCCTAGCGGGGAGTCTATAAATGATATATTATACCTTCGTGAATACGATGTTTTATTATTATTAAAATACTCATTAATAATTCATACATCTTGTGGCAAATCATGTCAGCCATAATATGTCACGTGGAGTGACTTTATATCTGATAAAACTCATCTTCATTAGTATTCTTTATATAACTGTCCATCCTAATTAGTATGATTATATAATTGTTCATCCTAATTAGTATTGTTTTGTAGTCGTATTTTAACCTATTCAAAACACTCGTTGTCGTGTTTTAACAGATATAAAACGCTCGGCTGCGCCTCGCGGCTGATAAAACACTCCTACTCGTGTTTTAAATAGTACTTATTAAAGGCATGCAGGTATTTGTCCCTTTTATTTCGAATCACATATCGTTTGGATATTGATAAAAATTTACTTCATTATATAAAAAAATTGGTTTCTTTGAAGTTTGAAAACTTAATAATTCATGACCATGCACTGATGTGTATATCAGTATTCATGACTCTTTAGTAGATTTTGTCGGCCATCTTGTTTGCGTGATTGCCGCGCGTAGTATACGCGAATTATATCACCCGGGTGACATGATCAAATCACCCGGATGATATGCAAGGCGTGATTGGATGATAAATTTCAGTCATGCTCATGTGGCACAGACGTAGCTTTCTGATTGGAAGCTTTGAATTTGAGATATAATAGTAAGAATTATCACTAGTTTCTAATTTTAAATTATATTAATAATTAACTTTTAATGCATAATCTTTGTAAATTTCTTAGACTTTAATCTTGTATACGCATGCAATTCAGCTTCTGGGTTGCTGTGTAATTAAGTGTAATTTGTTTTAAATAAACTGTTATGTCTATTAACTATAGTTTATATCACTATGTTTCTATCTAAAGAATGTCCAGGAAACCGACTGTTTCTTATGATGTTTGCATGTCAAGTCAGTAATTGATTCAAACCGTGCAGTCATAATTTTCGAATAAACGAAACAAACCGCGGTTTTCAAAGAATAAGGAAATAATTTCTCAAAAATAAAAGTATCAACTGATTTACAATAGATACAATATTCATACCGTAATACAATATTTATATCAATTGGGGGGGGGGGGGGGGGGGGGGGCGGCATTTAGGCCCCTCCTCCCTACGGTTTTTGATTTACAAGATTGGAAATGTCGAAAAAAGCCTGATTTAGCAAATGTAGAATCCAGACTTGGGTATGATCAATACTGGATATTTTGCAAACCGAGTTGGGGTTGTTCAGGAAGTTTGCTATCACGGTTAACTAAATATCCAACACGTGGTTATCCAAGAAATATCCAAGAATGGAATTACATATAATGTATTTCTAAAACTATATCCACTCGCATGCACATCAAAAACCAAACATGCATGCATGCATGGTTTTTCTCTGAACTTGCAATTTTAAAGTCTGGAGAAACAAAGTAAAACCTGCAAGCAGCTTTGGATTGTTGTTATTTTTCCTGCGGTAATCACCCACCGTACAACAATCTTCAGGTCGGACTCCCTTGCACAAAATCGCTTCATCGACTAACGTGCCGTCTAATTTTAATTTATGACTACTGTGCTTTGCACTTGTCTTACAATATAACGTCCACACTTCACAGAATATCAAACTGAACAGAATGAAATATAATGTTTCCTTTGTAAAATGGTATGTACGACAACGTAGCTTATTTGGGTATAATATAACAATTATAGTACGCTAGCGTTGATTGGTCGAGAATCGTGATTCTTCTATAACTACAAAAACACGGAAAATTTCCCAACTTTCGCCTATAATTTTAAACGTAAACAAAACAATTTTGATATACACGCTACAATCGAAAAAGTGTTTGATAACACTAGTCTCGACAAAGAAATTGAACACAACAGATACAAACTATTTTGCAGCGAAATTGACGAGCATGCAAATGTCACCGTAATTACGCGATTTCCGTGTTCATGTAATGAGAATTTGAAACTTGATCGATTTAAAAAAGTTGATAAAATCTTTTTCGTGAGTTATATATTGCAAAAGATATAAAACAAATTATAGAAAAATCCATCAACCACCATTGAATTTACACTATATTATACGTTTGCAATCGTACTTAAATAAGCAAAACGTTCCTGAAATATATATCTCAGTGCACTATGTACTGTATGTACGGGTATGCATATATAATTAGCATGTAGCGAACCTCAGCATATCAGCAAAAGTCAGACGATTTAACTGTCAGTGCGAGAGTCTTACTTTGATGGGGAAAGATAACAAGTTTCCTGTTTTCGTTTGAAAACGAAAATACTTTTCTCTGTGCTTAAAAGTTTATATATTATGGAGTAAAATTTTTAAGTTTCAACTGATTTATTAATTATTGTTATAGAGATGTAATAAACGGCTGATAAATTAAATTCCCACAGTAACACTTGGCAGTGGCTGCGGAACAGGGGGGGGGTAGGGAGGCTTTACCCCCCAGAAGTAAAAGTGGGGGGCTTCCACACTAAAATACATGAAGAATGCCAGAATGCGAGACCATTTATACAAACTACGAAGTCGTCAAATTACTGCTGGCCGGCTAAAATGCAAAAGAAAATCTTTTATCTATATACAGTAAATACTACAAAGTCGGAATATTGGCTTTTGTGGTTATTTAGGAACTGGGCAAATAAAAGTTAAGTGAAGAAGTTTCAGACTTTCCTAATGGGTGATTCCACCTATAGACGAAACTTTGATCAAAGCAAGAAGGAAATCCAACATTACAGCTAGAAAAGAGCGTCTTAGAATAAGTAAAACTGCAAAGATTGGTTGCTAAATGTTGTAAAATGAAGAAAATATAGTCCTGCATGTGGAGTTCTCAAATTTTGTATATATTTGTATTACGCGCGGTAAAATAACCACTTTCTGCTAAAAATGGTAGTTTTCCCGCGCGTAATGCAAATACACTATATACAAAATAAGCGAACTTTAGGATGCTCTTTCCAGCTATGGTAGTGGATTTCGTTCTTCTTGTCTTGATCAAAATTTCGCCTGCAGCTGGAATCATTCATTGATTCTATCCCACGATTTCCAATAGGACATAGAACTTCTGATGCAAGCATTGCATTTATCTCGTGTTTGTGCTCCTTGTGTCGAAGAGAGAGTATGGACTATGAAATACAATTGTATTTCTAGTTTGGTTAACATTTTTAAATCATTAAAATGCTTAATATTATGTTTTATATCCAGTCAGACAAAATTTAACACTGCTTATGTGCTGATTGCGCAGAACGTATGGTAGTGATCTTTTCAAGCTTTTTGCGGCTTAAAACTGGTCGTTAATAATTTGCTTCGATTGCTCATTAATTCATCATAAGTCATTGTGTCATGAGATCAAATGAGATCAAATAATCTATGCATAATTGAATATCCGTATTTTTGTAGATTTTGAACAATTTTTCAAAGGTAGGAGAAATCACTACACGCTATGCCGTTTGCGGCTTGTGTTTCCACTTAGTCAAAAACTACGGTAAACTTTTTTAAATTTAGCCCCCCAAAATAAAATATGTTCCGCCGCCCCTGACACTTGATGTGCGGTGAAAAGCGTTTTGCGAAACAACGAAATACCTCGAAAACCAGAATTAGCGTGTTCGTTGATGAGTGTATAGAGAGAGGCATGTATCGCTTTCCCAATATAGGAAGAACATTCAGGACTTGAAAATTTATACACAACCGAATTTTTGTTTGGAACCTTTGCTTGCAAAAAAAATGAGATAGAAAGTTCGTTGCATATATAGGTACTATGTCTCCAAGTTAACAAAGAAAAGTCATTCAGAAAGGGATCAAAGTGGAGTGAACTAACATGAGATTCCATGAATGCAGGGTTCATTCGACCTTGCAATTGCATGCTGTGCAGTAAAAAGCATTTTGCATATCTTTGGTTCATACACAATGAAATACCTGGAAAACCATTTCACGCTGAAGCGTCGCATTGGTATAGAAAAATCCACAACCACCGTCGTATCCTGCTTTTATTAAGGTGAGCAAAACGTTTCTAAATTTAAACATCTCAGTGCGTATACAGTATGTGTGTATATAACAGTTACATTAGCTTGTAGTGAACTTTAGCATATCAACAAAAGTCAGAGGATGCAGTCGAGCGAAAGAAACGACGCTGTAGAATTATCTACAATTCTCTATACATGCAGAAGTCATTTAAATTCTAATATTTAAATTCCAGTATGACGTTGACTAAAGTTTACACAGACAGTTAAGAGCATTGCATTGCTTATAGATTTATTAGACAAACTCAAACACACTCATTATGTCATTGTTGCATAAGTCGTAATATGATACACAAGTAATAATTAATGGTGCATGCATTGTATATAGTCTCGCAAGTTAAAGACAATGCAGCATTTGTTATCTTTCCTGCGGTATCACCCATCATACAACAATCTTCGGGCTTTCCAATTTAAATTATGCACGGTTGCCATATATAGAGTATTTTTATTAAACACAAAACAAAAAAGTCTTCGTATATTGTAAATATTTTAATTCATTTTAATTATTAAGACTATTAGACGATTACAGTCACAAGTTCAGGAGTATATGCCACGTTTTGAAAAAGCCAACAATTTGTACGCAAGTTGCAAAGTTTGCCAGCATTATCTAACTCTATATAACCTAACTAAAGGTAAGTTTGCTTTTAAGATCGATGTATTGTTAATTTGCTTCAGAACTGCATGATGTTGCGTATAATAAAATATTACGTATTCAGTGCATTTTTTCATTTATAATATAGCATTTGTAAATTCTGAACACTGATTGGCTAAGAGCCGTGTTGGTATAACTCAATGCCAACACGGAAAATTTCTTTCTTTATATTTCTTTGTGCTATATTATAAAAAAAAATATAAAACATTTTTTCCGTATTGATATACGGTTATATCAACACTCGTGGAAATTGGGAAAACTCGAAATTGTGTGAACACATAATTTCTCGTTTTCCCAATTCCCACATGTTGATATAACTGTATATCAACACGGAAAATGTTTTATATTTGTTAAATATTACCGTTTTTATTAATTTAGGATATCAATTTAAAAATCTTCAAATAAGGGGGAAAGCAAACTTATTTTTAATCGTTGTTACTAGAAACTCGTGTCAAAGTCTATCGATAAAAGCTTTTCTTTTAAAACGTTTTGCGAAGCGCATCCATGTGGTTGAATGTAAAATTGAAATTTATATTACGCATATATGAACATACCTAGCGTATATATATTTGGGAAATTGATAATTTTGTAAATTAAAAGTGTTAATTTCAGGCCGTTGTCATTTTATTTTAATTTCAAAAATATATAAAAAGAATAAGATGTTCGTGTTATCATGAGTTGTCATTGTTATTTTAAATACTTCATGTTTGGAAAATATAGCAAAATAGACAAGGAAAATGACATGAATGTCTATGCTCATTGCCGCATCCGCGCAGCAGCAACTGACGTTGAATGTCTATATAGGCCTACGCTGCGTCCCCGATAAGTTGTCGTGGTTTTGCGTAAACAAAGCGATTTATAGTTAATTTGTGAATTCCGGTGTTCAGTTTTGGATTTTGTTTGCTCGTCTAGTCCAACTCAATAGCAAACCCACTGATTTCATTGGTTTTTAAAACTTTTTAATGTTAAACGGAAAGTTTTTTGTGGAATATG